TACTGTTTTAATAATTAATTTCCGCTTTTTACATCTTTCCAAATAAAATCAAAATCTAAACAATCTTTAAAATACTTTCTTAAATCCTGTTGGTTAAGTTCGTTTACAATTTCACTAATTGCTGACCTTAACTCTTCCTCTGTCCTTGGTCTCTGTTTCCGAACATACTGCTTAATCACATTAAAAGCCAATTCGGTAGGATTTAGATAAGGATTAGAGGCTACAATATACCTCGGCTCAATATTTTTATTGGCTAATATCTCCTTAATCTTTTTAGCATGGTGAAAACGAATATTATCCATCAAGAGATAGTATGTTTCCTCATCAGGAAGTTCAACCCTAGAAAGGAAATCAGCAAAAACCTCAGTATTTACTGCATCCTTAACTAACTCCCAATGAATTATACCTCCTTTTTCTACATTCCTAATCAGTAAAATCAGGGAATAGTTGGTGCCATAACTGGGTTTAAAGTCAGCAATTTTCTCTCCTTTTGGACCCCAACCTCTTTTAAGGGCTAGATTTAAAGGATGTCCGCTTTCATCAGTGGCTAAAATCTGCCTTGGAGGAAGTTTATTGGCTCTTTCCATAAACTCTACAACCTCAATCAAGTTCTGTTTTTGTTGAGGGTGGCGATAAGGAATTACTTGATAAGTGTATTTAATTTTCTTTAAAATTAGAGAAATAGTAGCATCGCAAAACCTTTCACCAGTTTTCTCAAAAACATAATCGGCCATTTCCCTTTGTGTCTTTGCTTTTTTATTCTGAATAGAGAGAATTAAGTGAAAAAGGCATTTTCTATCAAACTTTCTTTTTGGCCCGACCCTTTGGAGAGATTTAGTAATTGGCTTTCTCCAATATCTTATCATTCTATCACTTCTTTTTAATCCCTTAGCAATCTCTTTATAAGGAACTCCTGCTTTTTTTAATCCCTCTATGAACTCAACCAAATCTTGGTGCTTAAATTTGATTGGTCTCCTTGTAATTTTATCATCTACTTTTTTATTTTTTTTACTTAACTCCTCCTCTCATCAGTCTACTTTCTCCTCATCCTCGAACTCCCCATCTTGTTTAAAATCTTGGTAAAGTTTGTATTTACCACTTTTATCCCAAACTAGGTTTAATTTACCTGATAAACTAGGGATATAACTTACTCGATAATTACTTATAAATCAGTCCTCTTTCCCTATTCCAATATCTAAAAAAGTATATCGCCAAAATTGTTTGCTTTTGCTTCTCTCCGCTTTAATTATTTTAGCGACATACTCCATAGTCTATATATCTATTTTATAGAATAAAATAGAGCAAAAATATAGTCCTATTTGCTAAATGCTTTCACAGTAGTTTTTTTATATTCATCCATACACTGTTTGGCTAGTTCATTGTATAAATGCCCTTGTAAAAGTCAGTTAGTTCTCTTTTTCTTTTCCGGAGACATTGTTCCTACTTCTAATCTCTTTATTACATTAAACAAAGCAATTTTCCTTTCATAAGGACTTAAATCACTTTTGAGAATGCTTTCTATTTTCTTAACTAGTTGAGAAACTTCCTTATTGTTCTTTTGTTGAATTGCGGAGTTGATATCCATATACCCCCTTTTATAGTGAATTTTTTCATGAGTTGTGAGGGTATTTTCTTCCTGATTATGTTCCAAAGCAACAATTTTCACATCCTTTACTTCATGGACTTCTCCTAACTTATCTTTTTCTTTTTTATTCATAGCCATAATATAGTATAATTTTA